TAAATAACGACAGTGAAACATTTTGAATCATATTTTACAATTAATTTATACACGATACATAAGTTGTAGATCTAACTACGTTTCTCTAATTTAATTATTTTAATTTATTATAATTTAATCGTATCATCATTATACTATCTAAATCAATATTGAATTTACAGAATAAAAATCAAGTCCGATTAAATGAAAATATAGGGACTAAATCTATAAGTCGTGCATGATATAAGGAGTAGTTGGGTGGAATTTGATCCCAATATTATGGGCTTTTCCACCTTTGGTGGTGGTGAGGTCGAGGGAAGTCCACAATGTGGTGGTATGGCCACTGCCCACTTGCCATATAAAAGTGGTCCCTTTTAGCTTCTTCTCTTGTATGGGGACCCACTATTGGGTGGGACCCCATTCCCCAATGTGTTCCTTTAATAAGTAAATTAAAAAAAAAGTACGTGAAATTTAAAATTCTTTGTGGACTCCATCTGTCCGTTCGCGTGTACATGCCCCGTCACCGCACCTATTTTTCTTCAAAATTATTTTATGATTTTTATCAGTATCTAAATTATCAATTTATTTTTTATATTTTTTAAGTTTATTTTTTATCGTACTTTAAATTATGATTATTAATTTTCTTAAGTTAAATCCTATTATTAGCATTGATTTAAAATTCTACATATAAAAAAAATCTATACTTTATAATTCGTGCGGATAAAATTTAACTTGGTTTACTTTTGAGCTGCAACGAGAGGCATGAGCCTGCTGCCTGTACATCCACTAATGACAATGGGACACCATTTTGATAATTTAATACAGAAGGGACCTTTTCAAACAAAAAATAATAATATAGGAGGGACGGATCATCTTTGTGGTGGGTCAATGGGGGCCTGTTCTCTCTTAATAGTTTGGACCATTTCATTCAGTTTGCCTTTAGCGAGGATGGATTGGTTAAATCAATTGCATGCAGGGACCAAGTCGTAAACTCTACACATAATTTATAATTGCAAGTATAAAATCACAATTATGAGAGAGCCAAACTGCTAGCTACCTCTAATATATTAACATAAAAGTTTGTGAATGGCAATTGCCAAAGTACCTTATTTGCTCTTTTATTGTCATGATTTTGAAGCGGGATGTTAAGTAATTGTCCATACATTACGTATACATTTTGAAGCGGAATGTTGAGCAATCGTCCATGTATTAAGCAGAGACGGATATATAAATTTATGTCAGGGATATAGATTCAAGAAATTATATTAAAAAGTTTAAAAGATGCTAAATTAGATAAATAATAATAAAAAATACAAAAATACCCTAAAATATAAGAGAGTTTAAATTTTTTATGAAGTGCGAGGTCCATCCTTGACATTAAGTATACATTTTGAAGCGGAATGTTAAGCAACTATTCATGCATTAGGTATACGTTGTGGTGGACATACATAGTATTTAGGGTAGACATGTGTTCACTTTGAAAATTGGAATTCCTTTAATTAATTGTTCATTTTATTAGCCGTGCTTACTTTGAATTTTTATTTGTATCCATCTTGTACTTAAAAAAATATTTTATTAATATATGTGTGTTCATACACAAAAATATTTCTAGATCTATCATTAAATATACATTAACACATATTAAATTATATCTGCGTTGGGCATACTTCAGCACAAATCAAAGACTCCAATTTGTACAAATTCTGCAGAAACAATGCTGAAAAATTCAATCAGGCAATTTCTAGGGGAATCTTATTAGTTTCTAAGCTATCAAGAAGTAGCCAATGTTACCAAAGTTTCACGAAATCTTGCTTATGTCCTTATTCGAAGAAATAGTTCAGGGAAGAGCTCACGTCAAAATCGATAGATAGAGATAGACATAAAAAATTTAAGAGACGAATTTATAAAAAGTTTAGGAAATAAAAACAAATAATCGATATAAAATATATAAATTTATTTAATTCCCAAGTTATCAATCTGTTTTGCCTTAGCATTTTTATGACTTCATTTTAAAAAATTACTTTTGCCATGACATTCTCATTTGCCACCCACTCACACTACCATTTCTACCCCAACTATACACATTTCATTTTGCCTCGGCATAACCATTTGTGCATACCATTAGCTATGCTTAGATAAAATAGTTTGTTGCTTTGACATAACTAGTAATCTTCTCCAATCATTGTGGAGACGATATTCACTCACTCTATATTACTTGTTTGATTGTGTATACTTGCACATAATTTTCGTGTAAATTTATAAGTACTCACAGTGCGAACACTTATGGGCATCAATTACAATGGCAAAAATTGAGACTGCGAAAACTTAGGGGCCTTAATTATAAAGGTAGAAAGTGATATTGAAAAAAATTTAAGGTTCTCAATTATAAAGTTAAAAATGTGTGATTAAAAAAATTAGGGATTTAATTATATAGGTACAAATTGAGATTGAAAAAACTTAGAGGCCTCAATTGTAAAGGAGAAAAGGTAGAAAGTAAGATTGAAAAAACATAAGGGCTCAGTTATAAAGTTAAAATGTGAGATTAAAAAAATAGGGGCATCAATTATAAAGGTAAAAAGATGAGATTCAAAAAACTAGAGGCCTAATTATAAAGATAAAAAAATGGGAGCCGTAATTACAAAGATAAAAAATGGGGAACCCTGGGAATAGCTCAGGGCACTCTCCTTAATAACGGGCTCCACAAACGAAAAACATAACTTACAAACGAAATCGAATTCATACGATTATTTGGATGAAAATGTTTTATATACTAAATTAGACGTAAACAAGCTTATATATCTAATTGAAAAAAGAACTTAAATACTAAGTTAAACATGAAAGCAGAATTCAAATATCAAAATATGTATTTACTATATAGAATTTATCAAGGATTTCTTCTTACATTAAATTTAATGGTTTGTGATAACTTTTATTAGTCCAGATAGTTTTTGTTCTCATTTTCAACATGACAAAATCTTCTTCCCAACACAACAGCGCATCATCATAGATAAAAGGGTAAACTAAGCATTTAGTATCTAATGTATTAATTTTGATCCATTTTAGTATATAAACTTTGAATTTTTCAAAACCATACCTAAAGTTTAGTTTTTATTTCATTTTAGTACCCACAGTTAAAAGCTTAACACAATTAATACCTAAATTATTAGTTTTGGTCCGTATTAGTACCTAAACTTTCATATTTTTCAAAACTTAACTTTAAATTTTGAACGGGGTAGTAAAATAAAATAAAAAGTAAACTTTATGTATGATTTTAAAAAATTAAAAGTTTAAGTGTTAAAATGGACCAAAACTAATAGTTTATGTTAATTACGAAAGCATAATTTTCCCTATATAAGAAACACCATCAGACGTGATCAAATTCGAACCTAGTCAAAGTCTTGTGACGTCAAAGGATCTCCAATATCAAAACATGTTTCTTCACAACATCATACGTCTAGCCTAAGCCGTTTTCAGAGCAAAACTTCGGTTTTGCTTTGAAGTCTTTGTTCTTTCTTTCTTTTGTCCGTATTGTGCAACTTTGCATGCAAGAAAAGGTAGGGTTCAACCTGAGCTTCAACTTCAACGAGAACGCGGAAATGAAACGGAAACATACATTCAAAGAGGAAGAAGATAGAGAATGAGAAGGTGGATTGAAACCCAAGCCAGATACGAAACAAACAAGAAGAAATGTGGAGATGAGAGAGTGGAGATGGAAGAGAACGATAGTTAAAATGATGGTCAAACGATGCTAGATCAACATTTAACAAGTCACCTCACTTTTTCGTTACCTACCTTAATGGAGCGTTTGATTTGTTACAAATCGATAATCGATAACGTTAGTGATTAATTTGTTAGTTTTGAAAATTCAGTATAGAAAACAAAAACTTACTCAAACATTAGTGATCATTTATGTAATTACCCTTTATTTTATTATTAAAATATTATATTAATATAAACATTTTTTAAAATTTAAAAATCAAAATAGTAAAGTATTCATAAATTAAATTAAAAAAAATTCAAGTTTTTTTCTTTTATTTTTCTCTTATCGTCAAATTAATCAATATTATTCATTCTTTTTCATAATTAAATTCTTTTTATTAACTATTTTATTATTTTGTTATTGTAAATGGACAAACAACAAACGGGATAGACAAATGAAATGTATTATCAATTGAATTTCTGTCTCTTACCATAATGGATAGATCTAGACGGAGACAAATGAGAGTGGTCGTCTTCTCTAAATATTTAAAATTATTATATATTTTAATTTTTTTATATTTTCTATTAAAAAATCTATTTCGTCTCTTTAAAATTTTATGAGTTTAAATTTGTCTCTTAAAATTTTATAAGTTTAAGTTCACATTTAACTTAAAATCTTACGTCTATTTACTATAAAAAAGAATTTAATTACTGCAATGATGAGATGATGTTTAAGATTTAAAGAGTTTGAAAAATATTATTGAGAAACTATTATAATTTTTTTCAAAAAATTTAAAATTTTTATTTTAACAAAATAAAAAGTAATTAAAATTTATATTATATGCTAAATATTTATATTATCAAATAATTATTGAATGATACATTCTTTAACGAAATTTAATAATTTAATTTTAAGATAATAAATAAAATAAAATAGGGTAAATTACACATTTTGTACTTATACTATCAAATTTGGCTCATTTTAGTACTTAAATGTTTTTTCAAAATCATATCTAACGTTTAGCTTTTGTTTTATTTTAGTACCACGCCATTAAAAATTTAACACGTTTAATATATGAACTATCAGTTTAGGTACTAAGTTTTGGTCCATTTTAGTACCTAAACTTTCATTTTTCCAAAACATAACGTTAAATTTTGAACGGGTACTAAAAATAAAATAAAACTGAAATTTAGGTATGATTTTGAAAATAATTGAAAGTTTAGGTACTAAAATAGATCAAAACTAATAGTTTAGATACTAAATACGAAATTTACCCATAAATGGATAGGATTGGAATTTAAAAAATTCGGAGATAAAAAAAAAATCTTCATTTTCCAAATTTATCGCTAAGGAAGTAATGACAACTGCGACTCATCTTTTCCACTCTCTCCCGCCAATTGCTTCCCTCCCGACCGCTACGGTCCCGGCGGCCAATACCAGTGCCGGCATACGAAACCAAACGACGCTGTTGCATGTAGCGTGCGCTTTGAGGAGGAGCCAAAATGACGATTACCACGCCACCCTCAAAGCTCTCAACTCAAAGGGCCGCTTCCCGCGAAAATCCCTCGGCCAGGTCAAATTACCCGCCCCACTTCTCCATCTTGTTTCTAATGAACTGGGTTTAAGATAACCTAATTGATTGCGGGATATTTATTTAATATATGCAGCATTACATGTTGAATTCTGAAATTAACGAGCAACTGGTACGGGCGGCCAATGTAGAAGAAGGTGACTTGGTGTTAGAAATTGGACCGGGAACTGGTTCTTTAACCAATGTCCTCATAAAGTCCGGTGCCACAGTTCTCGCCATTGAAAAGGTCCGCTCATTTCCATTCCAAATTGCACTTGCTGAAAATAAATTTTACTAAAGAATATGGCTTGGGTTTATTTGATTTTATTTATGTGATGTAGGATCTTCATATGGTGGCTCTTGTAAGAGAAAGATTTGAAAGCACGGACAGGTTCAAGGTAAATTTAGTATATTGTCTAACAAATATTACTTCTTTATTGAGTTTTGAATATCTTTCAATACTAAATGAAAATTTTGTAGGTATTACAAGAGGATTTTGTCAAATGTCACATTCGTTCTCATATTTCTCCAATGTTGGAAAGTAGAATAGCTCTGAATGCGAGCTTAATTCGTTCCAAAGTAAGAACTCTGCCTTGATTAGTTGTCTTTTTAATGACTTTACATATAAAACTAAGATTAGATTTTAGACCATGATTTGATGCTAATGCTAATTAAGGGAAGTTAAATTTGTGAATAATAGATAAATCATCTCCCTCCTAAATTGCCATGCCAATCTTATCCATCATTAGTTTATACTCTTCGTTTTGCAGGTAGTTTCTAATCTACCCCTTAACATAAGTACGGATGTAATTAAACTACTTCTTCCTATGGGTGATCTTTTTTCTGAAGTTGTTCTCTTGCTCCAGGTCTGTAAAATTTTATCTATCCCTTTATTTATTTATTAATATGGTAAAACTAGCATTAGACATCAAAATTTTCAAGTGTTTGGGTCATTGTCGCATCATGTGTGAGGTTGAATATGTTAAAGTTTTTTTTTTCTTTTTATGTTGATTGTCTCCAGTTGTTTGGGTTAAGTGTTCATAAACTGGCTTACTAATTGTAATGCTAAATAATAACAGGAGGAAACAGCTGTACGATTGGTGGAGTCGTCTTTGCCGACGCCTGAGTACCGACCTATCAACATCTTTGTAAATTTTTATTCTGGTATTTTTAAACTGCATCATGTGCTTTTTATTTCACTGAAGTTTTCTGTTTGGTGTTAATTTGTTGGTTTTTTTTAGTTTTCAACTATATGCAATGGGAAATAATTTTGTTGATGTATCCCTGGTAACAATCTTTTTAAAAACTTATGTGACACCTTTATATCGTATTTCCTTCAGAGCCTGAATACAACTTTAGAGTCCCAAGAACAAGTTTCTTTCCTCAACCTAATGTAAGTCATCTACTTGCTGTTAAGGCATCATATTTTACCATTTTGAGATTCACCTTAAACCAATCTAGTGTCACCTGGAATAGTTCCTTCTTTCTCTAACGGGGTCCACATGAACCATCTTCGACTTTACTGAAAGGATGGATACTAAGGAGGTTTTTTATGCTTCTGTAGGTTGATGCAGCTGTAATTACATTTAAGCTGAAGCAAGCTCCAAACTACCCTTCTGTGGCCTCCACGAAAAGCTTTTTCTCCATGGTTGGGAGTATTCATGTTGAGGCAGCTTTATTTTTAGTTAGTAAAACTGAGAATAGTTCATGTAGGACAGTAGGAAGTAGGAACATAAATTAGATCTTCAAACTTGGCCTATGAGCTGTTTTGGGATGAAATCCATATATTTTCTGATAATAAAACCTAACTTATTATTGCTTAAATAAAGTGATATCTTATAGTTCTTTCCTTAAAAACTTAGGTGAATTCTGCATTCAATGGAAAGCGTAAGATGTTGAGGAAATCACTCCAGCACATATGCCCATCCAGTGAGATAGAAAGGGCTCTTGGAGATGCCAGCCTTCCAACAACTGTGAGTTTCAATCGAAATCGACACCTTCTACTTATTAGTTTAGTTATTTCGACCCTTTATCTCTTATATGCAATTTTGCTTAACTGGTGGTAATCTCACCTCTGCACTCGAATCATGTCTGCAGTCAAGACCTGAGGAGCTCACCTTAGATGATTTTGTGAAGTTGCATAATATGATTGCGAGAGTCTAGTTCTGCGCGGTTCTCAAGTGTTTAGAGGTTGCAAATGGCCCTCATTTCCTTTCTAAGAAGAGCTAGGTTTTGCAAAACCATTTGCCATGGACACAAAGTGCAGTCTGTTACACCATATGGTTCAACTTGAAGAAAAATGCAATCTAACAGGAACTCATCAATGGAGGACAGTGCCATAGAATTCACTTTGATATCTACAGTCCACCTCAAAAGCAGCAGCACCGAGCACTAGCAGATGGTATCTCCAGGGTACTGAAGGTTACGACTTTGTCATGTATCTTTTTCCAAGAATTGTTAAAACATCTCACCCCATATTCATTTATCATAGCACCATTAACACAACAATGTAGATTTCCCCAGATTTACCTGTATACTTTAATATAAAGTGTACAGAGAACATGTGCTTTGGAAGGGGAGGTTGTATTCTCTGCAGCTTTATATTCTTATATTATCAAGCTAAGCACGTCTTTCTTTTATATATAATAATTTTATTTCCAACTTGCAACTTGGGATAGTGAGGAATGTAGATGAACAGATCATTTCATAAACTATTCATGAACCGTTCGTATAGTATTTATTTATGTAGCTAAATAAGCAAATATAAACAAAATTTTTATGTTCATTTAATAAACAAACGAACAAAAATAGATGTGTATTTAATTTGTTTATATTCAAGATTCATTTATTGGTTTATTTATCTATTCATTTATCCAATTCTCTTTTTACTTTTATTATTTTAAATTTAAAGATGGGAGGTAGAGACTAAATTGAACACAATGTGAATTTTAGAATTCAAATTGTGAAGTTTGAGGAGTTTAAGGATTAGTAGGGTAATTTCACCATTTTTATTAGGCTTCCATAAAAATAATTGAACCAAATATAACACCTTCAAAACACAAATACAATCTTGTTTGATAAGTCCTCCATCTTGTGAAAGATAATCTGGGGAAAACCCACAGAAAAGAATCATCAAACAAGAAGGCACTCGAACAAACACAACTCTAAAGAAAGCAAGAACAAGCCACAGATCATGAATCACAAGAACACTCGACAACAGTGTTGACAGGCACTTGAATATCCTTATAGAGACAAACATAGGGAGCATCGGAGCCAATGTAAGGCCCAGTCCAACGAGCTTCATCAATGTAGCTTGCATCCCAAACCGAAGCGTACAAAAACATTGGTTTCTCAGGAAATCCTTCACCTTCCTTCTTCTCCACTTCCCTCACCAGCTTCCCATCAATAAACCATTCTATAGAATCAGGATTCCATTTGATTGTGTATTCATGGAACCCATCGGAACAGTCAAAACCCATATCATGAATCTCCTCTCTGTTCCCAGTTCCTACATCAAAATTTAAACACAAAAACCTTAGACACACGGCAAAAATAAATGTACTACTACTTAAGGGGAAAAAAGAGTGTATAAACCTGTTGTGTAGTAATTGGTTTGGACGATAGTTTTGTCTTTGCCGAGGAACTCGAAGTCGATCTCGTCTTGGGATTTGTCGCCTTCGAGAGAGGAAAGGTAAATGTTGAAGTTGAGGCCGCTGGTGTTGCCTTTGGGGCATTGGATGAGGGAGGTGAAAGTGCCGTAGAGGAAGCGAGTGGTGGAACGCCACCTGGCGCCGCCGCGGTGGTCGAAGGTGAGCGTGATGGAGTTGGAGACGGGGCAGTGGGTGCAGGCTTCTGGGGTATAGTCTATGGCTATTTCTTTGATGGGTTGGACTTCATGGTGAAGTGATGGATCCGCCATTCTCAAGTTTGCTAGCAGATGGGAAACCCAGATCTAACTATTTTGGTGAGTCAACTCTTTTCTAGCCACCAGCCAGAAGAAAAGAAATCTGATATATTTATTAATCAGCTTAAATACACTGTACCGAATTTTCTTATAAAATATTTTTTGTGTCGTTTTATTTTTTATTTTTAAATCGTTCCTCGTTTGTCAGTTAATTTCACTAAAAAAAGTATATAAGTAAATTACATATTTAACCACTTAATTATTTTTTCTTTCAAAATAATCATTAAACTTAAAATTGTATTTCATTTTAGTCACCTAATTCGATTCAATTTTTTTTAATTTGTACATATAATAATTCATTTATATCATATATTTTTACTCAATATATAAATTTAATTTATAATGATAAATAATATTATAATAGATATTTATTTTCGTCTGAGACTTCAAGAGTATTTATTACATTATATAATATATATAATAATTTCAAAAATAAATAATATATATAATTTTTGAAAATATATAGTATGATTTTTGAAAACATATAATATATAATTTTTTAAAATATATATATATTTAAAGCAGTTTTTAAAAACGCATATAATATATATAATTTTTAAAAACATATTATAGTTTTTTAAAAATATAATATAGTTTTTAAATATTATTTATAGTATTATTATTTTATATTTATTTCATTATTTATTTGTTTGTAATAATGTTTTTGTTTTTTAGGTCCAAGTTCAGAAGTCCAATCGGATCTAAAAACGGAACCCAATCGGATAGCTAACGTCAACCAATAACAACGACACAAGTGGAAGGAAACCTGCAGGGGAAAAAGTTGTAAAAAAGGAAAACAGAATGTGAAAATCGCAACCAATCCAAGCGGAATCGAAACCGTAACTCTGCTCAAAGTTGCTCGACATTTAAACACTCTTGTCTGAAATGAAAATAACACACTGGTCTTTCTTTCTTTTAGGAATTCGAAACCTCGCTGGCAACTGCCAAAAGTTGCTAAAGATAGAAGAACCAGAATCTGAAAAACCTTGACATTGTGCCCTCTATTATACATTATTATTATTATTATTATTATTATAGAGTAGAAGGACAGAAAGAGAGAGACTGGAAGCTGGTTTGATTTTTGAATTCTTGTAATCCTTTCCAAGCCTCGAATTCTTAAATGGGTTTTGAATTTGCTGTCTCTTTCAGAATTTATGATCCTTCAACGGGGAACAAAACATGGGTTCTGGGTATTTTTCATTCTTGTAAAGAAATCACACTGCAGGTTTCAAATTTTCAAGAGTTATGGCGTTTTGCTGATTCTTGGTAGCATTACTTTTTCTGGGTTTTGGACTCTAAGAGAGAGAGAGAAAAGTTTGAAGATTAAGCTACATTGGTTCTTTTAAGTTGTTATAGCTTACTTTCTTTGTTCCCTTCCCTCATATACCTGAACTTTAACGTATTCTCACTGTTCTTCCTCAGGATCTTGGTTAAGAGTGCTAACTGAGTTTAGCAGCTCTAACTTGACTTGGTTAAAATTTTCTAAGTAACGAAACTTTTTCAATAAGAGTCTTGAGTCTAGTCAAACAGAAGTGGGTACAAATTTCAAGTTGAGTCGAGCACTACTTAATTCGTGATGTACTAGCACAAACATCATCCCTAAACTTAGCCTCATACAGAGGATATTGGGGTCACAGTGAACGGTAGAGACTTGAGAGAGTTGTGCATTTCGAGGGAAGTCAAAGCAATTTGAGGTATTTCTTTTGGAATTTATTGCTTTGAATTTTTTTGGATAGTGACTCCTATGGCTATGGCCGATCTTCTCTTCAAAGTGAAGTCTGTTCTCTGGTTCATTACACATCACCATCTAACGCTATTCATGTCGTTTCTAATTGGTAATACGTTAAAAATCCAATCTCTTTCCTTTCATCACCAGGAAAATCTTTGACCTTGGTCTTTAGATCAAAAGACAAGGATTTCCCATGGTTGAAAGTTCAATTTTTTATCCTTTTCTTGTTCCTAATTATTGTTCCATCAACTTACAAAAGGGTATTCTGGGCACTTTCATTGACTGCTTCTTGATTAGGCTGCAATTTTTATTACTTAGAAAGTAACTTATTTCATTTCCATATGATTACATGTTTTGTTTAAAAGATCATAAATTTTTTAGTTGGCATTTAATAATCACTTGATAAAGCAAAGGACTTTGTGTGGGCATATTTTCGTTCTTCAATTCCCAGTGAACAAGCTTCTCTAGAAATTAATTTAATAATTTCAAGGTTTGGTGATTTCAACGGCTCCACTGCTTTTTCTTCCATATTAACGATCTTTTTTTTTCTCATATGACTCATTGATTCAGCTCTGATGATCATTTTGATCCAAATACATATCTGAATCATGGGAGAAGGTACAGGAAATGGAGTTTTGACTGATGGTAAATCGGCTGAGGAGTGGTTATCGAATGCTCGAGAGTTTGTTCCCATGGCACTTGATAAGGCAAGGGAGGTGAAAGGGCTCTCTGGTAAGTGGAAGATGATAATTTCCAAACTGGAGAAGGTCCCGTCACGATTGTCAGACTTGTCGAGCCATCCATTCTTCTCGAAGAATGCTCTTTGTAAGGAGCAACTGCAGGCCGTGTCGAAGACATTGAAGGAAGTGATCGAATTGGCGGATTTATGTTTGGAGGAGAAGTATGAAGGGAAGCTTAAGATGCAGAGTGATCTGGATGCATTATCAGGAAAACTGGATATGAGTTTAAGGGATTGTGGACTATTGATCAAGACCAGTGTACTCGGTGAAACTGCTTTGCCTGTAACTTTCGTTGGTTCTTCCTCGTCGGAATCGGAGGTGCAATGCACGGACATCTAAAGGAAATGCTTGCACGACTTCAGATAGGGCACTTGGAAGCAAAGCACAAAGCTCTTAGTCTTGACAGCCTCGTTGAGATTATGAATGTAACCCCCGACCGATGCGAGTAACCAGATCCGATTCGGGATGTTACATTTGGGTCACCGGAGCAACTCACTGTGAAAATAGTGAATTTTTTTTATCAATACATGTAAACTAATAAAATCAGTTATCACTATTTAAAAATAAAACAGATTTTCAGACTTATATATAAATCAAAATACAATTACATGCCCCCTAATCACATGTACCATACTCTGCAACAACGCCGGAAGAACTCCCTTACTGAAGTCGATAGATGTACTAGTACAATTCTTTTAACCTGAAAAGGTGAGTAATAGAGTGAGCTTCGAAAAGCTTAGTAATACAGAACTACCAGATGATGCTGAAGAACGTGCAGATACAGATAAACATACATATCCTTATTATTTCCGAACATTTACAGATTTTTATGTTGAGCAGAGATCCTACTGATATTTCAGGTGGTAACGAACAATGAGCTTTTGTTTCAGAGAAATATTTCGGATGACTGAGTTCAGGAGATCAAAATAGGTTATCTAGTGTGTTCCCGTAAAACCAGTAAAAAGATAAAAAATTTTATTTTAAAACATATATATATATACCCCAACCTTTTACAATCTGTTTGTGTAGGTTCCCCAGAACCATACACCCAACCCACACAACCTGTAAGGCCCTGAGCACAAAGCCGAGGAACCTGCAGAAATACTTCCTTCAACAATATCCCCCCAATGAAAACATTTTCCGTCCGTAAACGGAGATATCAGAAATCAAAACATAATCCAGAACAGATATCAG